CCCCTGACAATTTTTTGTTTTCAAAGTTGTGCTGAGACCCAACACTGATGCAGAATGGGCAGTGGGAACTGGGCCCCCTTCCCTTTTGGAGTCCACTCCAGAACTGTAATCAGTGAAGCAACAAATATTAATTCTCTCCCTTCTCAGGCCTTTTCCTCTTTGTAAGAAGATTCAGCTTGGAAAGCTGTGATCAGCCTAATCAGTTTTCTATTACTGAGGCTGGTGCTCATAGTGCAATTTGTTAAATCAATTTATTATCCTCCCAACGAACTTCAGTGATCAGAGTGTGAAAACATTGAAAGAAAATTAAAACTAGTGGAAGTGCTGCCTGTTTGGATAACAGCACATTTTCCTGTTTCAAAGGATTACTCATCTGCACCAAAACAGGGAGAGAAGTTAATTTCAATGATTTAGAATCTTCTATTTCTGGGAGGCCTGGCTTGCACATTATGATGAATTCAGGAAGAAGTATAATTCGTTTTTAAATTGTTAAACAGCACGTTAGGGCCAAGTATCCAAGTAAAAATGAATGGATTAGTTTGTAATCTTCAGCAAGCGTGTCTGTGTGTGGGAGGGTAGGGATGGCAGGCTGGGGTAACCTGTAAACAAATGCTAGATGCATGCTGGCACTCCAGGCTTTGGCGTTGGAAAGCAGCCAAAATAACCTGCAGAGAAGAGAAATGGTTCTTTTCTGCCTAAAATGGAATTCTGCAGATCCTCCAGTCCTGTCCTCCTGTGCCCTTCAGTGGGAAGAGGAGGTTCCTTGGATTTTCAGAGTCCAGTGGCTCTCCCATCTCCACATCTTCAAGCTTCTGAGTGTAAACTCAAGCAAAGCAGCTCAGCAGGTGCCAGAATCCTGTAGGACAGAGGGACCTTTGGTGTTACCAGTGGCAGCTGAGTAACGTGGGAAGGTGTCTGGGAATGTTCCTGATTTCTGCAGTGCTGTTCCCTCTGGACTGGGTTGATGATACACATATGGCAAAGGCACTGGAGCTGCAGATGTGCTGTACAGTGTAAAATTCAGAAACCAAAGCTGATGGTATCATATGAACCGTGAAATGTTGCACTGGCAGGACAGAAGTGTTTCATTCATAGTTCTTTCTCAGGACATAAATCACTTTAATAGTTTCAAGTCATGGCTGATATTTTAAATTTGTTGGGTTTTTTCTTTTCTTATATGGCAAATCCCTTCCCTGCCAAATACTGCAGAGCTGTTACAGGGACCATAAGCTATTTAAAAAAAAAACAAAAACTCCTTGGACTCTTCTGTCTTCCTCCAGCTTCTACTTACGCTTGTTTTTGAATTTCTTAGGTGCCTCTTCAGGTGGCAATGTTGGAATGAAAAGTCAGCTGGATATGAGAAATTCCAATTTGGGAAAGTCCTTGCCATGCTACAAGTGGTCACCAGATTAGAGGGATCTGAGGCCAGTAGGAATACAGTAAGACCACCATAGAAATTTGACCCTAGGGGGAAAAAAATGCCTTATTTTGGCAAGTTTAGGGCTGCTTTTGTAAAGCAGGCTGCCTGTTAAAGCTTCTCTGTCAGCTTTATTTACAGTTCAAAGTAAAGAAAGCGGCAGTTTTTGACTGTACTGTTAATGTATACACTGTACATCAACTTTATTGCAAAGTGTTTTAGCAAACTACCAGAATAGTTTTTAATCTGCAGATAATCTTACTCTCATTTCTATTTTTGGACTGTGTTACTTTGCCCAGCATAGGCACAGCCATTGGAATCCATCCAGTTCACCTAACAACTTTCATTAAAAAAACTGCCCTTGTAATAAAAATTACTCAGTGTGACAAGATTCCATAATATATTTTCTTTAAAGCTTCATTAAATTTTGTAGCAGTTAATGGCACTTTTTGAGGTTTTTTTAATTTTATTTTAAAAGCAAAATTTGGCTTAATTGTGACAATATTTGAAATAGAATTAAATAACTATTTTCTAAATGGGTGCATAGAAGCCAAGCTGTGTGGCAGGAATAGCACAAGGATAAGGAAATACAAAATCTATTTAAAAACCACGTTTTACTGAGTTTTGTATATTGTGAGGTTGCTCAGAAGTCTGTGACTCTTCAGTTAGGCAAAGCAGATGCAATAAACTCTGCCCACTTGCAGTTCATGATAGAGAAGTCTTAATCTTACAAGATGCAGTGACCAAAAATGGATTTTTCTGCAGCAGCTGGGAGGAGCAGCTTACCAGAGCATCATCCCTCTGATCCCTGCAGCACCTGCAGCTTTTCCTTGTTCTTCCAGCCATCAGGGACATGATTCCTGATGTGTGAGGCACTTGACCAGTGCAGCAAACTGCAGGCTCCTCACTGCAAACATGGAATGCTTTGGTAGTTTCTTACTGTGGAAATGTAGTAAAGAAGTGCTGTGGAATCAAATCCAGCTTTTGGGAATGCAGTGAGAAGTCAGTGGATTAGACTCTCTGCTGGCTCTTTGCAGAGTACTTACCTGAGGAAACTCCAATCTCCATTTTTAGCTGCTTGTTCATCAATAGATACAAATCACCCTGTCCTCAGTCTGTGTAGCAGAGCAGCCATCATCAACATCATCATCACAACTGATACAGCCGAGTGCAGTGACTCTGTGTTCACCTTCTGGGATGTGTGTGAAACCCCAGGACATTCCAGTGCTTGGTAGCAGGCTGAAGGAGTCACTTCAGCTGCACCAGGTGTCACCACAGATGAAATTGCACCACAAACCAGAACAGTTCAGAAAGGCAAGTGATGCTGAGATGGAAATGACCAACACACAGGTGGTAGACTAACCTCTGGGATCTTTCACAGTCTCATTTTCTCATTTTAAACAAAATAAAGAGCTGAAGAAAGTCTCTTTATATTTTCCATTGGTTTGGAGCTTTGGATTTTTTAAGACTTTCCAGTGCTTTATAGGTTTGGCTTGGATAATGTATTGTGTAGTCTGATCTTCCAAGTGTCTTCTGCTATTATCAATCTCTGGCTGTTGTTAGGGAAATCACACCGAGAGTGTCTGTTTGACTGTTCCCTCCATTATTATAACGAGCACCAGCAGCCACTCTCATGTTTATCTTGTCTTGGGTACATTAAGTAAAGTCTGCATCCTGGTCTGGGCGTAGCTGATTTATGCTTGAAGTGAGGATTGTTTGTTCTCTGCGATGAAACAATCTTTTGTGACAAGCTAACAATGGCAAGGGATGAGCTCTGATGTTAAACAGTGGGAGCTTTTCTTTTCTTTCTTTTTTTTTTTCTCCCTTTCCTCTTCTCGTTTTAAGTCTACCCACTGCCTCAGGAGGAAGGCTGCTACACTAATAATATGTCTAGTCTCTGTGGAAGGCCCTTATTTGAAAAATCTGTAATTGAGTGGACAGAATTTCTTGTTGCTTGAGAGGATCTATTCAGAAGAGACCTGAAAAGGATGAGGGAAAAGCACACTAGACATCAAGAAGTCCTAAGGGCTCTATTGAGAGGGAAACCTGTGTAGGTATTGTGGGACAATTGCACTTGTCAGGCAAAACACAAAAATGGATCTGTGAAAAAAAAAAAAAATCCTGGGGAATGTTAAACAAAGCTTTGAACAGGGCAAAGAGCTTGCTGGGAATACCTCAAAAGCAAGGAGGTGTATTTGGGTGATGTTTGAAGGAAGGCACATGATGGCTGCTTCAAAGAGCAGGCACAGAATGTGCGTTACCACAGGGCTTCTGACCGTTCTCACAGTTGCCAGGTCAACACAAGGCTGAGAGCTCATAACTAGGTTAAGTTTATTCACTCCTTTGCTCTTTTCAGTGAGCTGTTCCATTGCCCAGCCTCCCTGGTGCCCTGTTCAGGGACACTTTCCTGCTGTTGGCTTTTCCAGCCCCTGCCTTTCATGCCTCCTTTGGAAGCTGAGGAAGATGTGCTGTACAGAGTGGAGAGGATGTGTTCCCTACAGAAGGCAAATAACCCCGTGAGGGTATTTGTATTTCAGTGATTGCCTCTAGTCAAGTTTATTGTGTGAGATTTTAGGAGTTGCCTGCTTAGATGTAACATACTAAGTTTTGTCTAGTGAGGCTTCTTTCCTGCATCCATTGCTGGCTGCAGTGGGGTATTAATGAACAATCCCTGGCACCCTCTGAATGGGCTTTGCTGTCAAAACTTCAGATGCCTAAAAGATCAACCCATTAGTGATGAGACCAGCATCAGCTCAGCCTATTTTTAGGTTTTTCTTTGCTTGCTTCACTCTTTGATGTAAAGACAGCTGTGTTCCCCTCTCTCGTTATGCAGACCAAACTTTTTATCTCCACTTTGGAACAAGCTGTCCATTGTTTTGATCACTCAGTGATCTTTCTCTGCAGCTCTCCTGTTTGAGTTCTTGTTAATCATGGTGACTGCCGCTGCCTGTGTTAATTCAGATGTGGCAGCAGTCCATGTTCAGTAGTGTAAATATTTCCATATTTAAATGCAAATCTCTGATAAGCATTTAAGGAAGCCATCCCCATACACACTGTGGCTGTGCCTCCCTTGCAGCTTGGATGGGTGTCTGACTAGGCTTTTTCCTGGTTTTTATTTATGCATGAATGGATTGTCATGTTGTGTGTTTTGAAGAAACCACACACAACTTAAATGCCCTGAGTGTGGTTTACTTCTGAAAATGAATTCCCTTGTGTATTTTCTAAGTTTCAGTGGTTTTCCACAAGTGTCCAAGAATCCTGACTCAGGGTGTGACAGCTGTCTTTTTATTCCTTTTGCTTTTCCTCTGTTGCTTTCTTTCTCATCCTATACTCTTTTTTTTTTTAATTATTTTTTTTTCTCCTCTGTTTAATTGCTTCTTAAGCTTTGGAACATCTTCAGAAGTCTTGCTTAGGCAGTTATTTTTAGACCTTCAAAAGAGGTAATTTTTACTTCCTTTTTCCTGTCACTGCATTTGTTACCTGTCGAGGCCATACTTCCAAAGACATCTCCTTCTGGTGAAGCTAGAACAGCATTTTTAAGAAATTGGTTGTTCCAGTGTCCAGATGTCTCCTTTTCATACAGAACACCTGAAGAAACGCCTGGAGGATTACATGGCGCAGTTCCCGAACGTGCGGATCCTGCGGACCAAGAAGAGGGAAGGGCTGATCAGGACTCGCATGCTGGGAGCCTCGGTGGCCATCGGGGACGTCATCACCTTCCTGGATTCCCACTGCGAGGCCAATGTCAACTGGCTGCCACCTCTCTTAGGTGAGTGGGAGTTGTTGGAATCGCTGCTTTCCCCTCGTGCTCTAAGTGGATAAAAGAGGTGAAATATAAAAGAGAGAGCAAAGCAACCACAGGACTCAAGTGAATTGTTGGCAACTTGTAGTGGTTAGTATGAGATTTTTTTTCTGTTCTGGAGTCCTGCACTGTGCAGTAACCTTGTCATATGCTTTTGTTAATTAAAGAGCAGAAATCATATTCTTCTGTTTCCTCATTAAATGAAATCTTAAATAATTTACAGCTTGCTAGAAGAGTAAACTATCACATGGTCATGCAACAGCTTGCAGAGAGGAATGGCTTTATGATACAGAAAAGATCTTCAGATATAGTTTTTGAGTAGCTTTTAAGGGTTTTATCTCCTGTATAACTATATTTAACTTCATAGTCTGCAAGGCTGTGAAAAACACTTCTTGTGAATGAGAGCTGCTGGTGTGTATTTGTAGAACATGGGCACCCTTTCCCAAGGCAGCACTCCATCTTTGAGGAGGTGTCAGTTCTCTCCAAGGATGACTAATTGAAGGGACAGTGCCGTCTGGTTCTGGTACCTGTCTGCCTCCAGCCGGTACCAAACTCCTTCCCAGCCCTGCTGCCAGTGACCTGTCAGAGCTCTCTGAGGTGTGACTTGCTCAAATAGGCTGTGGCAACAACAGCCAAGCGGAGCTTTAAGAAGAGAGTCAGATTTTCCGCCAGGATTGATGGATGGTTTATCCTGTTGCTTTCACTACACTTTATATCTGGCAGTAGTTTGAAACATTTGCAGCTTTACGAGCCCCAGGGAGGGAGGACAGAATTAGCTCCAATGCCATTTAAATGAGAACACGAAGAGGATGCTTTGATTTTTTTAAAGCACAGAAAGGATTTCTGTGAGATGTGTTTTGAAAGCTGAAACATCATTTTATCGCCTCTACTCTGAGAGCTAACTTCCAACAAGAGGCCATCTCAGCAACAAAGTATTTAAGAAATTCCAGATGTTTATGCAGGAATTTACCCTGTGTTGTATTATTTGGTTGGAAGAAAAGATTGGAGGGGAGGATGTAACACTTGCATTTCTTGACCCTGCTGAGAGCACTTACGCTATTAGTCTGAAACGCTTCCTGCCAGGTTCTGGTGTGGCAGTTAGAGCTGGGTGGTGCAGTGGGTTATTCCCTGGATTTGGATCTGCACAGAGGGGGTTCACATCCTGGTCACTTGTGGAAGTGAGGATTGCTCATCAAGTACAAGAGGTCTGGTTTTAGCCTGGCAGTCAGTTCTCTGTTGTAGCGTGGCTGTGTCTTCCCATTCTGCTTCTGGGTGATGGGTGCCTGGTGTTTTTCTCAGGGATTGCAGAAGTAGCAGATAAATTGATATAAATTCAAGCATCTGCTCACAAAAGAAGGAACAGGAAGAAAGCTCTGTCATTCTTGGACAACTTCATATTTTGATGCTCTTTTTTTGTAATTTCATGGTCAAAGGAACTGTCTGGTGCAGGTTTTCTAACATATTTCTCCAATCTTCAGATCGCATTGCCCGAAACCGCAAGACTATCGTTTGCCCAATGATTGATGTTATTGATCACGACCACTTTGGATATGAGACTCAGGCTGGAGACGCAATGCGAGGGGCCTTTGACTGGGAGATGTATTACAAGAGGATCCCTATTCCTCCTGAGTTGCAGAAACCTGATCCCAGTGATCCCTTTGAGTAAGTTACTGAAATGCAGAGTGCTAAGAGCCAGCTAATGAAATAACACCCTGCTGCAGGGTTGGTTTACATCTCAGCACAGCAAAAGCCAGAAGCTGGTGTTAAGCTACTTGCTTTTTTGGCAGCTGTTTGCTTTGCTGGTTTAAAAGAAAAGCATTGTATAGTAGCTGTGAAGCCTCTCCTTTTCATTGCTGTTTTTTGCCACATTAATTCCTGCAGAAGTTAACATTTCATTGAAAACTCTAATGTGTAACAATTAATGTGGTCATTTATTACTGAGATCTTTCAAACACAACTTAGTATCTCTAATGCTCTGCCAAAACCAACAAACCAATGGTGGGTTATGTGTCATTCCCAGGTGGGGGAAGAAGAAAACCTAGGAGCATAATTATAGCAATTTTGATTATTACAGTGCACTGCAGAAGTAAATCTGTGATCAAGTTGTGCTCTGCTGTTGCTGTGCTTGCCAACATTGAGACAGTTCTGCTGTGTTTGTACTCTGCAGTGTTTAAAAGAAAAAAAAAGGAAAAAAAAAAGAAAGAAAAACCAACAAAACACTTTTTGAGGTCAAACTCAAAGACTCAATCCTACAACAGAAGCAGAGCACCACGTGTGAAGCATACAGGTCCCTTGGGCCCGAGGTGGTGTCCTGTCACTTAATGGTCAATTGCTGCCTGCTTGGAGGAGAGGCATTGGCAGGTTCTGAAGGGAGCCTGGTCTGGTCCTCCTCGATTGCAAGTGGGAAATCAGGAGATAACACCAAAACAACTGTTTGATGTGCTGATGTGGCTGTAAAGGCACTGGGTATGCTGGGTGGTGAAAAGAATATTTGTCAAATCTTGCTTTGTTTTTTAAATGTTTAGCTAGAGATCTGTGTCTTTGAATATGTTTGTAATATGGAGTCTGGTTTTTCCTTAAGGTCTCCTGTAATGGCTGGAGGACTGTTTGCAGTCGATAGAAAGTGGTTCTGGGAGCTGGGAGGGTATGATGCAGGTCTGGAGATATGGGGAGGAGAGCAGTATGAAATATCCTTTAAGGTGAGCCATGTTCTCTGGAAATTCCTTTTGTTTTGAAAAGTAAGAATTTGTTCTGAGGCGCAGAATGTGAATGATCTGTCTTGTCCTTACTGTTGCGTGTGACTGAAGGTGAAAGAGTTGGGAGTAGTAAGACAGTGCACAGAAGAATCAGCACTGATGTGAGCAGTGACTTGTGAGGGCCAGTTTTGGAGCAGGATGAGCTGGGGTGGCCCCGTTCTGTGGCCACAGCTCCGATGTGTGCGCTCTTCCCAGCAAGGGTAAGTCAGCTGCTGTGGAGCTCTCTGCCTCTGGGGCTGCTCAGTGCTCATCCTGGCAAGATGGTGAAATATTCTCCTCCTTGAGGGCAGGAGGATTCCAGTTCCAGCTTGAGTTCTCAGAGAGGAGAACAACTTTGTCTGTAGTCAATCCAGCTGACCCCTGGCTGTGAGGAACTCAGGCTGTTACTTACCCGGGAAGAAATCTTCAACAACTGGAGTCATTACTGTTGCTGGCAGTGACTTTGGACTATTATCTGCCTGGCCTGGGGACAGTTCTGCTACTGACTGATTGAGCTGGTCAGTGGAGGCCTTTGAGAGTTAGCCAGCTAACCAAAAATGCTTACAAAGAGTAACAAGTCACTGTAACTCACCAAGACTGCTGGTACCTGTGTTAGGTTGGAATATGGCACTGTGAAATCCAGTTTGGGAAACCCACCAGAATGTCCCAAACCCCTGGAGGCAACTGGCCAGTCTTCAGTGGGGGGATTCCTTCCCGTAGCCTGGACCAAACTGAGTAAAGATGTCTACATTAAACTCCTTTTGAGGTTTCTTTCAGAGGTTGAACATTTAATTTTACAGGTGTCTGGATGCCACTGATCTAAGATAGCTGACCTTGGCACAAGGCTAGAGGATAGCAGGGATGTAAGACACAGTTTGGCAATTCTGTCATGGCTGATCTCTTAGAAAACAGATGCCTGACCCTCCATGCCTCTGTGCAGTTCAGAGATTATCAATCCTCAGCAAGCCACGCTGCCATACACACCCTGTGTGCTACTGGACAGCAAACAGTGGGAGAAAAGACATTGATTTTGAGACAGCCTTTGCTTCCATCATTTCCTCACCAGAACCCATCATCTTGGATGTCCCTTGTCCTCTGTAACAGTGTCAGGAAGGGAGGGACGAGGGCACCCTCTTTGGGGGTGTCACTGTGCTTAGAGCCATTTCACCTTTGTGTTGCGTGTAATGAAATTGTGTAAGGCGCTCATTCTCTGCAGGAGGGGCAGCATTCAGCCTCTTCCTCTCTGAAAATGCTGGTTTCCAAGAGTGATGACAGTAGCTGGGCAAGCCTTTTGTCTCCAGTGCCACAGCAGACAGTCACACTGCTTGATCTGCAGGAAATAAGACTGCTTCATTCATCTGTTTGCTTATCCCCTCTGAAACACGCTGTGTTTTATTTCAGTCCAGAGATGGTAATTTGTGGAGGGATAAATTTGCTTTAATTAATCTCTGCAAAGACCCCCTTTTTTCTTTCATTGTGCAACAGAAAAATGAAGTTTTCACTGAAAGAGGCTCAGTGTATTTTCAGAAATTAAGATAAATTGATACATTCATCTGTGGCTGATAGATTTAATAATTCTGCTGGAATTGCAAGAATAGAAGGTTTGTTCATAGAATTTATGAAGCTATGGCATTTCCTGGTGAGCTTAGAGCTACGTTTTTACCTTTAGAAGCAGACTGAGATTTTGTAGTTAAAGGTGCACTGTCAAATAATTTAAAGCTCTGGCTTTAGGCATGGGGTACCCGTTTTCACATTATTTATCTCATGGGAATTCAGATTCTAAGCATGCCAGATTTACAGCCCATTTTTATCAAAGAATCTGTTGCTGTCCCTGGTTGTTGTAGGTGCAGGTACTCTTCTGTACTGCTGGTCTCTGATCCATTGCATTGATCTGGCCTCCTTGAGCCTCACCAGGAGTACAGGGCTTCTTGGGGGGTTACTTTGTGCTTTGGAATTTTTTTTTCCTTAAGCATATTCTTTTTTTGCCATTTATGGACTGTGCCTTGCTGGTTTTGTCTTTATTTTAAAATACAGAGCTCTGTTGCCGAGAGACTGGAAATAAACAAGTTTATTTAGGAGCCTCTTGCCCTTGTTTTTGGAAATCATACCTATTTCTGTTATCAGCTGGCTCTGCTTCCTTCTGAGCAGAAATTTTCAAGCAAGCCAACACAGAAAGCATCAATGTTTAGCACCTCAGAAAGCATTTAGCTAGAGGGTGGATCAAACTCTTTCCAAGTGAAGCCTTTCACTTTGTATGAAACATATGCATCAAACATCATTAGGAAACATTGTATGTAGGAGGGACAAAAAAAATTGAGGTGACCTTTCTAACCTTAACTTCTGGTTTGTCATTTTCTGGGCCTTAGCAATCCCTTAAAACAGAAATTTCTAGTTTAGAAATGAAGGAGTTGATGTATCCATTCCGTATTCAAGCAGAAAACGGGCACTGCTTCCTTCTTTGACCTGTGTGTATCCAGAGCTCAGCATCTCACAGCCAGCACTGCTGCAGCTCAGGGTGATCCTGGTCAGGTCACCCAGACACAGCAGACACATCACAATCTCCAGTGGTAGTTACAGGTAAATCATCAGGTGCTGACCTTGAAGTGTGTTCTTGTAATTTGGAAAAAGGGTAAACAAGCACTCACAGCATTCTCTGTGGGGCATTTGTCACCTTTTTCTGCTGCCTCGTGTCTCCTGTGTTCAGCAGGCTGAGGTGGGGTTCTTTGGAATCACTCTTTTGGAGTCATCTCCTTACCTCTCCTCTCTTAAATTTTCTTGGTCTTTTTTATCTTCCTGATTGTGTGAACAAAACCCAGTTCTTTACCCAAAGTTATAATGGACATTTCCTCTTCTAAACACCATGTAATAGCTGCCTACGTAACTGCTTCATTTTTTTGGACATAAATGCATTTAATTTGGAGCAGTATGTGTGAAGCATTTAAACTGTTCCCTTCAGCAAGTGCTACTTTGTACAGCACTTATCTGCATCAGTTTTGAGATGGTGTTGCCTCTTTTCCAGTATTTTTGTGGCTTCTATTCTGTTTGGCTTACATAAATCTCCACTAAACTGCTTCACGCCTTTCTTCCATAAATACATAGTCTCTGATTTTTTTTTTGGTTATGGGGAAACAGAAGAGTAAAAAGGGATGTCTCTGATTTGTGTAGGCATAAATATAGATGTACTTTGTATCTCAGATCTGAGTGGTGTGGTTTTCAGTCCTTTAATTGCACGCTGTACTTGAAGAGCAAAGAATGAGACTCCAGAATGTCCCTCTCTAGGTGATAAATCATTTCAGTTTTAGAAACATTTGCCTTGTAATTTGGAGATTGTAAAGCCTTCACAAAATGCAAAGGTTCAGTGCAAACAAGCCAAATTGATAGTTGCCCTGAAAAGAACAATTAGAAGGGAGACAAAAGAACCGGTCAGTACTTGTGGTCTTCAGTTCTTGCTTCAGCAACAGGAAAAGAGCCTGGTGATTGTAGGTCATTGCATTTTTCCAGATCCTTTTCCCAAACTGTCAGCATGGACTACTTCTGATTTCCACAGCATAAAACATGTTACATGTTTTCCAGTAAATCCAAATGCTGCACAGCTTCTGTTCACATGCCTAATGCCTGCCTCTCCTTTGTCCCATGCCAGCAGCATGTTTCTGATTCCCATTTTGCTGCTGGGCTCTGGCAGGTGTGTAGTTCGGGTGCAGCTGCCAAGGGATCCCTTCTGACAGCATTTCTACTTGTGTTGCCGAAGTTAGTGCTGATTGTGAGCCTGCACTGCTTATTCCAGGCACATACTCACTCCACTTTCCAGCAGCTCACGTTTGCCCACACTGGAACAGGCTGGGCATTCTGCTGCTTTTTTTGTGTTGTTTTTTTTTTTTAACCAGCACATGCTGCTTAATTCTAAGGCTCTCAGCTGCAGTACAGGGTGGCTTCTTTCTCCCTTCCTATCTGGTGACGCACAGATCAGTTTCAGACCATTGACTTGAATTTTTTGCCTCTGTTCACCCTCTTCTTGGTTCAGGTTCCTGAGCAGCCTCCCACCAAGCAGCAGCAGGGAAGTGCTCCCCTCCACTCCATGAAATGTGATTATTAGAAAGTGCTGTCATCACTCTCAAATGCTCCAGACAGTGAGGAGGGGCTGTACTGGTGTGTGGTGTGTGAGAAGGTGCTGTGCACACACAGATCCCAGTGCCTCATGGGCTACCTTAATCTCTCAGGGAGCACCAAGACCCAGCAGCAGGAACAGCTGATGCTTCCAGTATAGAGGATTACAGTTTTCCTGAGTTATTTGCCTTGCTTTCATCCTCTCACCTACTTTGTTATGCAGAGAACCCCCATGACTTACCCTCTGTGTCCTTTTCTTCCCACCTTTCAGTGTGTGCTTACACAACTAGCCAGCTGCTCTCTGTTGATCCATCCCATGGTCTTCATTTCTGTTGTGTCCTGCAGAAGCAGCTTTATTTTCAAGGCTTAACTATCCTTTGTGTTTTTTCCTCTCTTGGGAAGCATTGGCTCATCATGGTGCAGTCTTTGGAAACCATAAACCTTGTATACCCAGATAATTTGTGTTCACACACCAACTGCAGCATTGTATTGTGTGTTTGAGAGGAGAGGTTCAGCTGTCTTACCTGACATTGTTTTCTGAAATTGCAGAAAGGGAATTGGATCAGCGTAACATTCCCATGTAGAGAATAGGTGGCATATTATCTGCTGCTTTCACAGCATACTGACTGAATCAAAGGCTCTGGAGTCGCTTTATGAATATGGAGTTACAGCTCTCCAGGTCGCTGGGAAGATGGAAGCAATATCACCAGTGTTATTTTATTTCCCTTGTGTAGTTTTTTATTATTAGGGTGAGATTGTGGCCTTAGCTAAATCTGCTCAGTGTGCCTGTTGACCTCAGTGTAGCCAGGTTTTCTCTTCATTCTAGCAGCTCTGTCAGCTGCTGGATTCCAAGCCCAAAATGAAGATTGGCAAAATTGTGCCTGAGGAAGAAGAGAAATTTCCTGTTCTCTCTTGATGAGATCTGATTAGATTATTGTAAGAAGCACTGTCTGCCTGACCAGCTTTAATTCTTGTTCTTACGGCATAAATGGCTGTTTAAAATCAGCTGCAAGTTCAGGCTCTGACGTTTTCTGTCACGTCAGCTGAGGAGTGAGGCACGACCTGTAAAACACCTAGAAGAAACTGGCTCCTGTGGCTGAAGGAGAAGACAGTAAGGGACAGTCAGTGATGTGGGGAAGGCATGAGGAGCTGCCCTACAGCCCAGCACCGTTTCAGCTGTCTGACAGCACGGTATTTTTAGCAGTGTACGTTCTGGTGTGTCGTGCTGGGAACTGTACTCTTGTTTAAAAACAACCAAATATCAGTAACTGAGTGGAAGCATTCCCTCAGCTAGCACACAGCTATTTTGGGTTTGCTTCCCTTGCATTTACTCTTTGACAGACCCCTGGATGAGATTCTCTGACCTTTAGCTCTGGCTTTCTAATGCTTTTGTTAGCTGTGTTTTACCAATGCATATCACGCTCTTTCCCTCTCCCCGTTCTTCCAGTTGTATAGATAAGGACTGGTAATTGTCTTTATGGAGGTTGTAATGAGTTCTGTCACCACACAAAGCAGCTCACTAATAAAATAAATCAAAGCAGCAACGAATGAATGGAAAGCATGCCTTTAAAATTAGATTTGTACTGCGGGTGCCACACTGTCACTTGCAGCAGAAGGCAACGTTAAAAAGGCACAGAGGTGGCAGAGTGCCTTAAGAGGTCCCTACCTCTGCTGGTAGGGATTAGGAAGCTTTCCATTGCCTACATTGCAGCATAGTTTGCAAGTAAATATTTTAAAGCATGATCAGGAAAAGAGCAAGTCAAACTGATGTTAGGTTTTACTTATTAAGCAGCTCAATTAAGCAGCTTCTCTGATCATACTGCATGTGTTTGTGTAATGCTGTCTTCTATGCCTGGAGTCTTGTACCAGCTTCAAGCTCCTGGCCCATCAGTTCTGTCCAGCTTCCCACTCCTGCTGCCTCTCCAGCTCTGCAGCACAGGGACAGCTCTCTCCTCTCCCGCTGTACTGACTGCAGGGCTCTGCTGCTCAGCTTACACAGGGACATCATGCTCCAGAGAAGAGTAATTGTGGTGGCCTGGCTGAAAGCCTTTCCTTAGAGATGGGGCAGCATCCTGTGGGTAGGCAGCAAGGAAAACAGGCTGGTGTTTGCAGCCAGGCTTGTGTTACACTAAATTGCAGCTGCTGTGAACCTCTCAGGCTTCTCACTGCAGGGTGCAGTGCAGAGTAGTGCAGGTTGTTGTGTGTGTCTGCAACTGAGCTCGGGGCTTCTGCTGCTGCTCCTGCAGGTTTTTATGGTTCCCAGATCTGCTGCAGCCCTCACAGCCTTCCTAGAAACACAAACCATGCCCAAATGCTTGTTTTCTCAGCCTGTTAATTTCCCAGCAGCGAAATCATGCTCTGGCCCTCAGCAGCCAAAAGCACAGTCACTGCAGAATAAAAAGTATTGCTAATTCCATCAGAAACTTCACAGAAACTGAATGCTAGTTGCTTTTTCATCTCTTCTGCACCAGCCTCTCAGGACACAAAAGGGACAAAAGGAATGAAATTCTGTAGGAGTGTTTGTCAACTTTCTTCTTGTCTCTCTCACCATAACGAAATGTAATTAAGTACCTTGAACTTTAGAAAGTTGCCTGTGAAAAATATTTCTCTAACTGAGAGTAACCAACCTCCATTAAGTTATACACAGTCAGCAAATGACTGTAATTATTAGGGCCAGCAGACAGAGCTGAAACTCCAGAGGACTTTAGTGTCAGAGCTAATAATTATTCAGCAGCCTTGGCCAAATATTTCTCTTCCGAGCTAAGTATTTAATATCGTCGCTGTAGAATATTAATGGAATTGCCTGCTATGTGTGAAGCTGTTGACTAAGCTCATTGTACAGTGAACTGTGGTGGCTCAAATTAGCCCCAGTGAATGGGGAGATCAAGAGCACTGCACCAGCCTGCCCAAAATCCATAGCCTTTGGGGCACTCCCATGGGATCCAGGGACAAACAGAAGGGCAAAGGCAGTGCCTTGCTTCAGGAATTCAGAAAGTCATTTGTTTGGCATTCTAAAGGGTATTTAAGTATTGATTGGATATTTCTGTGAAGCACAGAAATATTTCTTAAACCTAATGAGGTAGATTGACTGGTTTAGAAAATGTCTCCTTTTGTTTCACTTGGACAAAATTACTACATCCATGTTTTAAATAAAGAATAAAAGAAAGTTGCTGCAGAGTGCTGGCACAAAATGAAATCCTCCCAGATGGGGAAGGAAGCTTTTGAGCCCGTTCTAGACATTAACCAACCATCAAGGTAGTCATCTCCAACTAGCAGTGTGTTCTAGTGACTTCCTGAGGGCTTTTTTAAAGCTATTTATGTGTTCACCAGGCAGAAATTTCCACTTAATTGTAAGGCTGCAAAAGCAATGAATGAATGTCAGCAATGAAACCATAAAAGAGCAGTGATAACCACGGCAAAAAGTAGCAGTTTCTTCTGATTTCTGGCACTGGAACAGGCTCATGAATTCCCTGGAGCCTTTTGCATAACACATGACCACCTGTACTAGGGAGATGGCCTCCCTTTTACGGCCTCGTTACACAACCTACACCCAGGGCTTTTTATGGTAGCCCAGTTTAACTATTGTGGTTACTGTTGCTGTAATAACATATATCAGTTTAAAGCAAGGTGTGTGCTGTTTTCTCAGTGCTTGGATTTTTTTCCCTGTTCTTTTCTGTATAGAAGGCTTGAGAACACTTGTGCTAAATCAAAGCTTGCTGCATGGCTCTAAGCGGGTTGTTATAGGATTTGGGACTAAGGCAGGGAGGGGATTTGGGAAGACTGTACTTTAATGTAAAAATCTGGGTTAAGTTTTTTTTATTCCTTGGAAGTCTTTTCTTTTTCATTTTCCTTCATTAAGCCAAAATTGAACGTGTTTCTCCGCTGTTCCACAGGTATGGATGTGTGGGGGTCGCATGGAGGACATCCCCTGCTCTAGAGTTGGTCATATCTACAGGAAATATGTTCCATACAAGGTTCCCACAGGAGTCAGCCTGGCAAGAGTAAGTGGTAGTGACATTCCCACGACAAGAGTCTGACTGCAACATGGCCATGCTGTTGTCTACTCTCACCCCACAATGGGAGACAAATGTAGGGGCTTTTGTCTGTAATTTGCACTTGTTCAGTGCAAGCTGAGCAGTTTTGCAGTGCTGGATGTGTAGCACAAAGGGAGAGAGCTGCAGATGTGTGTGTGAACAGCTGCCATGCTCCAGACATCAGCCACTGCTGGGTGCTGGGCAGGGACTTTGTGATCAGGCGCTGGCTATAAAAACAAGATATGGCTTTATTTGTATAATACTTCAGTCATTTTATAGCTGTGCTTTCCAAGAGCAGCAGGCTTCAGCGTGGTGATTGGTTTTGGTGATTGAAAGACCTCTCAACTTCAAGCATCACAGACCACTGAATGGGCAAGCTGTAATTTTCCACAATGGAATGTTCCGTGCCATCTTATTACTTAATCTAGTGTAGCCCAAAGAAGAAAGAGATTTTGTCTATCCTGCACTGGGTTTCTCTAGCTAATTTTTAAATTGAGGAGGGATTGTATTGCCCTCTGGTGGGAGAAAAACATCCTAGGAGCAGGAAGGCTGCAAAACTAAAAACCTCAGAGAGATGCCCTGCTGTTCTGAAATCTTAAGGCTTGCAGAGCCTTACAGTGCTTCCCAGGTTAGTGGCATCATCCCAGTTATAGATTTGGATTTATTCCTCAGCCCAGCAATGACCTGTCAGAACAACAGCACTCTTCTGTCTGTGCTATCAGGAGGGAGCTGTATTTCTTTTGATTTAGTATTTGGCTCTTCTGGACTCCCACAGTGCTGGAAGGAGATGGCAGAGAGGTAGGAAAGGCTGTTTCTTGGCATCTTAACAGACATCTTGAGGTAAACACCTGCTCCTGTTGAGTGCATGCTGCATTTGGGGCAGGATCAGCACGCTGCTCACTCTTCCTAACTTTTCTGGTAGTGAGTGTTAACTGTTGGACTGAGCAGCTTCATGCAAGGAGTCCCAACTGCACATGGCACATTACTGAGGGGCACCAAGAGTGTGCCTGATGTTGCCAGAGAACAGCCCAAGGTCCAGCACTCTCAAGGGCACTGTGACAAGCAGGTTGTCTTGAGTGGGTGGTGTTTGTTTCTGTCTTGGAGGTGCACAGGGAATTAAGCTTTATAGTAATACATGAAATGTGCTGCTGCCACGAGGTAAAACCCTGTGCTTCTGTTCTGAAGGGTCATCACCTGAAAGCTCAGTATTCCTGAGGTATCTCAGAGTTTTACCCAAGGAAATGGAAAAATAGTGCTAAGAAAGAGTATTGTGAACTGGAGCTTTTCAGAAGGGAGTACTGCAAATCCCATTCCTAGATGGATATAAAAGATGCAAAGGAAGGATTTAAGAAAGCAGCTTTTTGTCAGAGACCTTTGAATGTCCAGTGGTATTTACCAGCATCATGTTCTGACTAGTTTCCTTACAGAAAAAAAGGGAAAAAAACAACTTTTGATTAATGTTGTTTTTCTTAGCCACAAGGAACTAGATATAATGGCCAAGTGCCAGGATTCTGTTTTGACCTCAACTGAAAATATCTTTCTAAAAGTCCCTTGGAACTACAGAGTAATAAAAATAATCTTTGTCCTGAAGCTGGAGAGAAAGAGTGGATGTGAATGAAAATCCTTTCTGAGCAAAAACATGCGAGCTGCTCTGAATGCTAATGGTGGTTTGTGCAGCACTCTCAGGTGGTTTCCCCTCTCGTTCTGCCCCACAGAACCTGAAGCGAGTGGCTGAGGTGTGGATGGATGAATATGCGGAATTCATTTACCAGCGCAGACCTGAGTACCGGCACCTCTCCGCGGGCGACGTCGCCGCTCAGAAGGAGCTCCGCAACAACCTCAACTGCAAAAGCTTCAAGTGGTTCATGAACGAGGTCGCCTGGGACTTGCCAAAGTTCTACCCACCAGTGGAGCCTCCAGCAGCTGCCTGGGGAGAGGCAAGTTTGTGCTCTGACATCTGCAGTGGGCAGACAGGCTGCAGTTTGGTTTTTTAAGGTTGCCTGTGTGCCTCAGTTGCTGTGTGTAAGGTGTGAGCAAGTGTTTAAAGATCTGCTTGATGTTTCAAAACCTAAAACTCCTCTACCATTGCACTGGCCTGATCAAAGCAGGCAGCTGCTTCTATTAGTGCACAGCTCCAACGAGAATAGAGACTTGGCTTGTTCTGCATGTTGTGTATTTAGTAGAAAGCAGAATATGCCAGAGGGAGGACTAGGGAGAGGCAGCAGCTGAGCAATAGTGAAATCTTGTATTTCCAAAGGGTTCCACAACTGTGTTGAGCTACTCTTGTCCTTAGCTTTCCCATGTGAAAGGCAAGAAAACCATCCATATTTTTGAAAGTCAGCTGTGTTCTGGGAATAGACTCACCCCAGGAGCGAGGTTGTGAGTTGTTAAACACAGCTCTCATGGCTGAGTGTTTTGGGTTGCTTAAAGAATCACTGGCAAAGGTGTTGACAAAAGCAGGTGTAATATAAAAGTGAAAGCCTGACAAAGTTTATTGGTAAGCTTCACACTGCTACTTTGTAGAGGGTTAAAGCATTCAGAGTGGACCCCCTTACTAAACTTAGCTCTGAACTCAACAGTTTAAGCCTAAAAGTTTAACAGCATTTAATCTATAGTAATAATTAAATAGCTGTTAAATATAATCTCTTAAGTTAAATAATTGAACAAAAGATTCATGTAGAATTTACTATAGCACAAGAGTAACTCCCAAATCTAAAGTACTTAAGAATCCAGAAGAGCAACATTCATTGTACATTTCCTATAGCATATTCACACTGGCACAGACTTAAGGGAGGATATATAAGGTATAGACCTGTGGAAAATGGCACCACCAGAGACAGCCCAGCCCACAGTGGGCTCTGCAGTCCTGTCACTGCTAAGTTTTGCTGTGTGCTGGAGGTACAACTGGGCCCCATTTTGAATTCTGTGCTTTCTTCCAACTGTTACTGGCCAGCTCAGACTCACAGCTAAGAGAGGAATCTTAAAAACTAACTTCATACAAATACTGCAATTTGAGATAATTTGAGCCTTCTTTCCTGGAAGGAGATGCAGTGACTAATTAACTATTTCAGATACGCAATGTGGGAACTGGACTGTGTGTGGATACTAAACATGGAGCCCTGGGATCCCCACTGAGGCTGGAAAACTGTGTGAAGGACAGAGGAGAGGCAGCATGGAACAATGTGCAGGTAACAATCTGATAAATGATTGGCCCTAAATCTGGGGAGGGTGAAGTTCCAAGGACCAGTATTGAAGGAAGGCCATTTAGAGCTGTCAGGTGCACCCCAAGGCTCACATGATGATTGTACTTTGGTACAGGATGTGGCTTGTGCTTGTGGCACAGGGCGGTCTGGAGCCTGGCAGTCTGTAGAGCTTCTACCTCTGCTTTGAAGTTCTCAGAGTGAACAAAAGAAATGACAAGAAAACAGTGTGCCAAAACAATAAACCAGTAACATGGCAGCTGTAATATGTAACAAAGTGAATATTAACTTCAAAGGTTGTGCTGAAAGAAGTGATAGAGGAGCATCATGCATATTAATGAACCTGCAGGAGCATTCAATAACTGTTCACTATCATCCTCCTGACAGGAGGCAAATGCATTATAAACACCCAACCAATGCTGGAGAGATGAAACCAGCCAGGTTATAGATTCACCCTCTCAACATATGAGGTGCCAGAAACGACAGCTTTATTGTAACAGAAGGGAGGAAAATATTAGTTTGTCTAAACTGTAGCAGCTGAGCTGAGAAAGGATCAAGAAAACAATGCCTCTATTACAGAGCCATGCATAACTCTTCAGGGAATGGCTTCAGTAGTAGGGAGACAGAGGGTTGTTGCATATCAATTTGATGCGTGAAAAATAGAAACAAAACCAATTTACTCAGACACAGTCCAAAACTAAGCCTCTGTTGTGTCAGGAGGATCTTGAAAATTAGTTTTGGCTTATGTTTAGGAAGAGAATGCGGTTTCTGAGTAGCGTTGAGCCTAAATGATTGTGGTAATTTCTCTCTCAAGAGGGATTTAAAAGACAGCCAAGAACAAAGTAGTTTCTTTGTGCAAAAGTTTTTGGCCACAGTGCTTCAAATAGCAGCACCCTGATCATTACTTGCCTTTCTGACTGCCCCGTGAGAGATCTCTGAGGAGAGCTGTTCCTCCAGAAAAGCCTGGCTAAGGATAGGGACTGAAAGGGAGGTGTGCTGGCTGGCAGCCCTGCAGAACCTCATGGGCCACTGCTGCCCTTTCAGAACCTTCCATCAGGGCACTGCATTGCCAGGCATAAGGTGTGCTCAGTTACTGGAGTTAAAACTCTTCCCTTATCCCTCCCTCGTTTCACCTGAGAGTGCTGAGAGTTCATTGCAGGGTCAGTAGAAGGAAGCAACGCCCAAGTGTTTGCCCTTCCTGTACTCGTGTGGGCGGGGTGGGAAGCTGTGGCTCCTGGTCTCTTGTCCCAGGAGTGTGGGACAATTTCTCAAGGTGACTGCAGGCTGCCTGTGCAGACTCTGGTGTTCACTGCCAGCGTTAACTCGAGCTGCTGGAGCTCTCTGGCTTTTCTGCTGGCTGGGAAGGGCTGTAATTGGTCAGCTGCTCACTTAATCCTGGATGTATGTCTGCATTGCAGAGACATCCAGGGCTGCTCTAGTACCCGGGCTGACCAGCATGGCTGGCTGCAGCAGCTCAATCTTGTTTCATATGCTGTGTGACAGCTGGTACAGGGTCCCCTGGTCAGCAGTCCCTGTCCCCAGAGGTGGGAGGAGTTTTCTTCTAGAAGATACTATCCTTTCCTTGAAGCCATCCCCACCCTGTGGGCACAGGGAACAGCATTCTGCCAGTGAAAGTATTATGCCCAGTGCCAGCCATTGTGAGGGTCCTGTTTGTCCTGACAGGTATTCACCTTCAGCTGGAGAGAGGACATCCGTCCAGGGGATCCTCAGCATACCAAGAAGTTTTGTTTTGATGCCATTTCCCACAGCAGCCCTGTGACCCTCTATGACTGTCATGGAATGAAGGGGAACCAGCTCTGGAGATACCGAAAAGTGAGTCTGTGTGTGTGGGCGTATTCTCATCTAAGGTGTCAAATTGCCTGAGGCGCTTACGTTTCCTGAAAATGTCACCACTCGTGTTTATTCCTTCTCTTCATGTAGCTGTAATAAGAGAATCTGCAGACAGCTTATTGTCCTTGTACCATTGATTAAAAAGAGATGACTCCCCTGTGCCACTGGTTAGAAGGGTGAGGACCCCAGGGCTGCTGAGCAGAGGACACTCTCTGTGCAGTGTCCCCACAGCTGACAGTGAGGTGATGCAATACCCTTGTGTTTGCAAAGAGGTGTTCTGAGAGTTGGTTTGTTCTGAGTACTGGAATGTCCTGCCAAAAGCAGATAAGGATTTATTCATCCTCCTACTAAGCAATGCTATTGTGGGCCACAGGTAAGTAAATTCTTGTCTACGTGCCCTGTCCTAGACCTAGCGATCTGCTGGCAGGTGCCCAAGAGGGATGCAGAAAGATTCCAACCTGGAGAGCCCCTGGGAAGCTTTAGACAGTCCCAGTGCAGGTGTGAGGATTGGGCTGCATTCCATTCTGTTGGAAGGGGTGGGAATGAACCCAGACACTTGTCAACCAGTTAAGTGTGGAACAACTTCAGATACACCCAAGTGGCATAATAGCTCACCTTGGTTTTTAAGACTTCTTTCTGTTGGTTTTAAAACAACTTTTCTTGTTCACTTAAGCAACCTCACTTCAAATTTCTCTCCTCCAGGACAAGACCCTCTACCACCCAGTAAGCAGCAGCTGTATGGACTGCAGTGAGAGTGATCGAAAGATCTTTATGAATAGCTGCAATCCTTCATCTCCAACACAGCAGTGGATATTTGAACATACAAACTCAACCATCTTGGAAAAATTTAACAGAAATCTTGATCTTTAAAAGACTCAGAGAAAATATATATATATATTTTACAATTATAGTTTTTACTGGGGAGGGTTACAAAAAAATTTTTTTAATACTTTTTTTTAAACACTTAATGAAAGTAAAAGGGAGAATCTCAGGAGAAGGTTAACTAGCAGGCCAGTCTTTATTGTGAAGATGCTGCATCCTTCTCTTCTGGGGATGGTAGAATTTTAAAGGCTTTGCCAGAGCCACTTCTGTGCTAAGACTGAACAGAAACTCTGTTTTTAGAGGAGTCTGAATGTGTTTCAAATGGCTTGTTTTGGTGGGGTTTTTTTTTGCTTTGTTTTGTTTTTTGGGTTTTTTTTTTTTTGCCTTTTTTGTTTTATTTCCCACTGGGGTCTGGTGTTAAATGATTTTGTTATCCAGGACCCTGCAGGACTTTTTGTAGCTGCTATACCACGCACTGAAGCATTCCCACATAGGTGCTTTATCTTCCAAACTCCATTTAAGTAAAATATTGAAGACAAGATTTAAGCCTCCAATCAAAAACAAAAAAACAAAAAACAAAACACCAAAAACCCATTTTTGTAATATGAAATGAATATTTTTTTGCCCTGAACCAAATACATTTCAAATAGGTTGAGTATTATTACTTTCCAAATCATAGCTCTGATGAAGGAATGAGCTCTAGTGGAAGTGCAGCCAAGTGTTGGGAATATAACTGTTGTTATTAGCCATGAGGAATCTGGGTTTCTGGTCCATTCACTTTGCAGTCAGTTTGTCACTCACTGTTGAATATTCAAGGTGAAAGATTAGCAGAGGATTTTTAAATAATTGCAGTTCTTATAGGTGAAGACTTTATTCTAAAAGCCTTTGGATATCAGGTTCCAAATTTGCTTCTTATAACCTTTTTAGCACAGACATCTCCAGGATTTCTCAGAGTTAAATCTACTGTGTGAAGACAATTTCCATTCTTCCTTTAGAGGTTTGAAGGCTAAGTTAATTTACAGTTGGTGTGAGCAGATTAATTCAGGATAATTAAATCAGGACTGAGATTAGCCATTGGTCTTTATCCATTTGTTCATCAGTCTTTAGTTTCTCGAGTCCTGTGGTCAGTGGTTGTTCTAGCCTTGTGGAAACGTGCTGTTAATCTCTTCTCATTTCCCAGCACCCACAGCACTGTTCAGTTTACTGTGACTGGAAATCTGTTTGCTTTAGCAGAGATGTGGGACTGATGGACCCATTTTCCTGGTATCCTATCCCTTGTGCAGTGAGTGAGCAGTGCAAGGTGTTACCCCTTCAGGTTTGGCTGTGGGATCTGCCACACAATGAACCAGGATTGTCTAATCCCAGGAGCTGGAATGTACTGACATTAAAGAATGAATAGAGGACCATTGGTTCAAGTTTATCTGAAGCAAGTATTTAAAAAAAAATCTGGTTTAAAATGAAGTTGTTGCAAAAGTACATTTACTAGCTCTCCTGGCTTAATCTTGTACTGAAGGGAGCAGTGGCATTTTCTGGTAAAAGCTGTGAAAGGTGAAGCAGTGAACAGATGCTGTGTAAATTAGTAAACAGGATTCCTTTGTCAGGAATTGCCCAGCTCCTTGGATTGCCTAGCTGCCCACAGGTGTTGCAAGAGTAGGTAGCATGCAGCCAGCTCTGGGGTGATGGGACCCCTGTGGGATGCTTGATGAGCATGGTTAGTACATTGCCCTCCTCAGAGAGGCAGGGAAGCTCTGCTCTGGGATGTCTTTCATGTGAAGGCAAGGAGGTGCTTCCCTCCCAAAACGAGCAGGATGGCTCCCTCTGCAGAGCTCCAGAAGCAAGAAGCCCTTTTGTTGCCAATTGTAGGGTTGTGTCCCATGTTTCAGATGTGTTTGAGGCCATGTAGTGCTGTGCCTGGCAGCTGGGAGCAAACAAGGACACAGCTGTCTGCCCCCCAAACTCCCCAGTCTGATGGATTGAGGAGGAGGCTCAGAATTGTTTCCACCTCTCTCATCATCACAGCTGAGGCCATGTCTGACCTTTTCTGCCAACTCAGCTGGTCCATGCAGTCATGGAGAACAGGAAACATGGGCACTGCATTGCAGCTGGGACCAGGCTTCCCAAATGTTCATGTCTAAGATTTTGGAGGTGAAGAAAGGAAAAATAGCCCTAGACTTCCCTTGTGACAGTTCTGCAGCAGTATTGGATGGAAGTGACACTAGTTTCAAGCAGAGTTGACATCTTATGTTCTCAGTTACTGCAATATGTCTGTCATGAGGATCCCTTTGTGTTTCTGTGGGAGACAGAGTCACCTTCCAGTGCTTTGTGTCTGACTGCTGCTTTTCTTAAGTTATTAATGCTCTCATTAGCCGAGTAGTGCTGACTGTGGAGCCACTAGATGGCCTGACTAGATGTCTTTATGAATGTTTTCATGCCTGTGGAAAAAGAAGCTGTTTGTCCATGAAGAGTGATAGTTTTTTATAACTGGGACATAATCAGCATATTCTATAAATGGACTGTAGGTTGTTCTGCTTGCAGGTTGCAGCTTTGTGTGTCTTAGTTTTCTAATGAGAGGATTAGCTTCTGTTTCTAAACTGCATGGCTTGCTTTGTTCTTGGGCTCACCTTGTGAAGGGAGCCCTCGCTTGGCTGACTGGATTCTTGCTTCAGAGAGACCTGCAGCAATGAACAGGTCTTTTACCACTTGGTGATCTTAATTTGGAGAGAAATGTCAGCTCTTAGCAGCTTGCACCAACAGATTAGGCAATAGTTGAGGCAATTCCTGTTTGACAAGCCACTACCAGTACACAGAACCTGGAGATTTAGTGTCAGTGGTTGTACCAGGTCTATCTCAGCGTGGTTGATCTCTTTTCTGAAGGTTTGGGATCTGAGTGTGGTAAGAGCCTCACCAATTCTGTACACTTCTGACTAGCTCACTGGGCTTTGAGCTATTAATTATTTGCATCAGTTATACTTTGCAGTACCCTAGAAGCTTTGTTGACCAATGCATAGACTTCATATAGCCAACCATCCACTGATTGAGAAATGTAAGCTGTATTTGATCATCTGCATCTTTAACTGAGCCTTTGCTCAGTTAAAGATGCAATCTAGTTAATTATTCCAATTACTTTTGGTTATTTGTAAGCAAAATCACTAAAGCATGAATACATAATCAAATCTTCACATCTGCATGCAAGTCAAGACTGGAGATTAAATACTGGTGATTATCTAATGCCAAATACATGTTTTCATATTTTTTCCCCCCAAAGTATTGAAACACCCCTCTCTTTGTGGCTGCATAAGTTTTGCTGCTTTTAAGTATCAGAATCCCAGACAACAGGGTGTATGTTGTGTTGCATAAAAATACTTTGATTTGCTCTTGAAGCTGTTGATCTATACTGGTGCTAATCTCTAAGGCCTACAGACAGTAAATAGGTTTGGGGCTCTCATGTGTGCAAGGTGTCTTTTCTTATACCTAGGAAATTAATTTTCTTTTTCAAACCACAATAGAAGAACGTGTGAGCCTTCCTGAAAGGGGAATACAGCATCATTAAAATAAAGATGTGCCTTTTTAAATGTAAATGTACAGCAAATGCTTAAACTTGAACCATTTCCTAGTGCCTTGCTGGACAAGAGAGAGGGGTTGGGGTTGGGGGATAAGGATATAAGAGAAAGCTTGACTCCTGCAGTGTTTGTGTGTGGGGTTTTTTTTTTTAAATGTCTGATTTTCAGTGCAAAATTTGTGTGAACGACAGTAATTCAGAAGCTCTTGGGTTCCCCCTGTTAAATCGATATTGTTAATGACTCTGGGGAGGTTTGTCACTCCTAATAGGAAGACTTGGAAAGGTTGGCAGCTTCCTCTGGGTGTGCTGTAACAGCTGCAGCTGCACTGGAAGATGCCTTGGTTAGCTGCTGGATGTTCCATCTCATGGTGAAGGCTCATGATTTCACTGGCATGTGGGATCCTGCATTTTTATTTTCTAAGTATGCAAATCAAAAATAGTCCCAAAAGCATATGAAATCTGTAGCAGAAGTGTCTTTCAGAAGAATTCGATGCCTTCCATCACTGGGAAACTTTTTCACACAGGAAATACAGAGTGTATTAAAACTCTAATACAGAAATAGCAAGAAAGCGATTTCTCAGACTAACTTTCCTCGTTGTTGGTTTTACAGCAGTCTGGGCACAGGGCTTTGCTTTCCTTTACTACTGAAGTGTTCCAGTCAACAAACCTTCCTTTTCCCTGCTGCACTGATATCAGTGACCTGAGAGTCAAACAGGCACCAGCAGCATTGCAGGAGACAGTGCTCTGGGGCTGCTGCAGGGCTGTGACAGCAGCTCTGCTGGCTCACATCACCCAGGGGAGACATCTCCTAAAAGTCAGACTGGGCAATCACAGAACTGCCAGGTGAAAAGGGAGAAGATTTTATTCTAAATTGTCTTTCAGGATACAGACAGAGACTTGAATTGATTGTGGAGAACTGCCAGCCTCTGGCAGTCAGCCTGTCACGCTTGCAGTCAAAAGAGCCCTGGTAAAGCCATGTGTGAAACAGCCCAAGTGGTGCATGTGTACCTTGCATTCCACCTGCACAGCTGCTGGGGTTCTTGCATTCACTGGGTGGTTTCACAAGATACACAGCAAAGGGGGGAACTGCCTTGGGAGTCAGGAGCACTGAGTCCTGCTCCTCGGCTGCCATGGCCTGTGAGTTGATCTTAAGCAAGGAAAGTCTGTGTGCTGCAATTTCCCAGCTTGTGTAGGATTCACCTTTAAGTGCTTTATTTTCTGACCTAATGAGTGCTGAGTCCAGATTTTAAACCAAGCTGCAGATCCTCACCTGATTCAAGTGGAGAGAGATGGAGTGGGTGGAGAATGGGAAATGAGATCTGAAATTGCCATCAGCATTCAACACAGACTTGTCAATTCATTTCATATTCCTCATTAATAAGTCAGATTGATTTATTCACATTATAAATTTGAAGTTTAACCAAAACAAGCTCACCTCCTGCTCTGATTTCTACTTTGTAGTGTCATGCTTTAGCTTGGAGAGTCTTTATGGAAATAGGCAATGACAGATCATGGAAACTGTAATAAAAAGCCTGTGTCTGTTTTTGACTCTGCTAGTACACTCCTTAGTTGACTGCATTTGAGCTTTCTTGATGCTTCTGTGTGACCCAAAAAGCTTCAATGATTCCAGCAGTTGTGAGTGATTTGGGAGTTTTATATAAAGCCACTGGATCTATGTGGTTTTAAATATACTAGTTCAACTCAAGGAGAAAAATCTTAATCCCAGGTAGTGAGCAAACAAATGTGAACTTCAACCACAAAATAAGATAAAAACTGCTCAAGCTAACAGCCTGAAACCTTAGCCCTTATGGTAACAGCAACAAATAGCTTTAGCCTCTAGGGTGGAGAAGGGAATTGGTATTGAAATGCATTCTCTAGGATCTCGGTGATTAGGTCTAAGTTTGTCTGTACCTTGTACTGCATGCATTTTCTCTGTAAAACTGGATGGTGCCTCTTGAATCAGTGTGTATTTATTTTGTGCGTATTAGGACCAACAGCCTAATATCTGGGGGTGGTAAAGGACTTGTAGCACTTTAATGTAGTAGCTTTCATAAATTGGGAATCATTGATAGAATGCCTAGTGTTTTTAAAGTTGAATGGACTTCCTTTTATAATATATTTAAAATAAATTTTTAATGTGTTTTCTGAAAACTGTGTGTGCAGACATGACTGTCCCCGCCTGCTTTGCTCCAGTGATTGATTTCTCTTCTCCTTGTGAGAATAAGCTCAGCTGTCCTGGTATGGTGTTTCCCCAGGACAGGTTTCCTGTCACTCCATGTCCAGTGGTGCAGTCCTGAAGGAACCACAGCTGTAGTGGATGATTTGTACCCAGGTAGGACACCCCTGAGGGATGGCAGGCACGGACTGTCCTTGGTAGAACACACTGGGAAGCACAGAAATAGAGAAAAGACGGCTGTGACTCTTCTTTGTCTGTTTGCCTTGGGAGCGACTGCTGGGAGATCCATCCCACCCCTTGGTTTGCATGGGAGGGCTTTAACAGCTCACGGCCTTGTTTGTGTTCTGATCTCCTGCTGGGGAGCACAGGTTCAGCCCAAGCCAACACAAGTGTATCAGCATTGCTCATGTTCCCACTAGGACCCTCTACTTCCTGCTGTCACCACTTCATCTCTTCAGTGGCCTTCTCAATACTCCTTTTTACTTTGCTCCATTGGGTGAAAAAGAGTGGGGGAAAAATGGATGGGACAGAGACAATGAAATGTGTGAAAATCTGTGTGTGGGAAAAGGAGTGTTTCTGGGGGGACCAGCAAGGCATGATCCCCAGGGAAAACTGTGCTGTGATTCTTGGCCACTGGAACGTTGCCCAGGGTAAGTATGTGCCAAAAGCTGTGACAGTTTAAGCGTTTTAGCAGGTTCAATATGTGCCACCCTAGAAAAGTGCTGAGGAGAGTGGGAGTCTGGAGGAAGGTGCCAGAGCAGTGTTTTCATTGGCCTCTCCAAGGTACTGCAAAAGGAAATGGTCTGATTTCTGCTGATGAAAAGTTTAAAAAAACCTTCTTCCCAGGACATCTCAAACCGCTGAGAGAGAAGTATTTCTGTCCTGAGCCCCCTGAATGGCTCCATTAAAATAGTAAGTTCCAGATGACAGCTACACCACTGACTTGTCTTTAGAGGGTAGTGCTGCTCCAGGTGAGATTTACAGGCCTGCACAGGCTCCCCTAATTTGATTAGAGGCTGACTTGGATGGCCAGGCTATTACTGCTTCAGAGGCACTAAAACTGCCTGTGTACTGATGGGTTTATGAAACATTGTTTCTCACTTCATTGCAGCTCCCACAAAGAATTATTGGATCAGGTTAGTGATAGATACCTAATAAAGAATGTCTCCATGAGGCAGTTTATTTTGCAGCAAGCTTGTTCCAGACTAGCAGACTGTGAAATCTGGAGGTTCCCATGAGGATAAATATGCTGAAATAAACTCCAATTATAAAAACACCTCCATGCATTTTTTTATTTTTTTTTTATTTTGAAAGACTGAAAAAAGGTGTCATCCTGTTAGCCTGAGCAGGAGGTAATTAGCATTGAGTTAGCAAACAGACAGTGACAAAACCTGGGTTTTTCCTTCTAGTGAGCATTGCAAAAGGCCTTAAAACCTTTTTATCTGCAGGGATGAGAGGTTGCAGTGCAAGATGAAATACAATCTGATGGTCAGTACCAACCTGTTCTGACACTTAAGGTGCCTCTTTCTTCCCAAAATATAGTCAGGGAGCACCTGCACAATCTCCTCCTCAAGGGGACAGGAAGAAGTTCTGCTTGTTAGGGCTATGTTCCCTTTTATCTCCTTGCTTGCTGTTATTTCATCTGTCCCTACAGTCTGTGGTTTTGGCTTCCTGAGTGTCAAGATAATCCTTCTGCAAGATTTCCTCAGCCAGCCATTTGATTTTTATTGCTAATGTTAAGATAAAGCCAGAAAGCTTGTTATCAGCAGCTCTGAGATCTCTGTCGGCCTCTTGGTGTTTTCCCTTTTCCCAAAACAAGGGAATATCCGTATGGCTTTGCCAGGAGGGTATTACTTCAGGCAGGCAGATTCCAATCAGTTTGGCCTGGGGCTTTTATAAGCCGTAGTGTTTTACTCTGTTTAAAACCTCTTTGCTCTTTGCTAACTGCTTGTTTGGTCTGTGGGTAAAGTCATTAGTTTCCACCAGCCTCCCGTGAGAACGGCCGGCTCCAGGGAGCGTGTACCCAGGAGGGTGCACTGTGGTTCTCTGCTGGGCACATGCACAAACACAAATTACTAATTGCCCCAGGGCACCCGCAGAAAAAGCCAAGAGAAGAGGCGGAGCTGATGATGAGTATTAAGTCTCTGCCCTCTAGATTTATTCTGAGGCTCATTTGGTATTGTAAGGAGTGCTTGGAAAATATAGATTTTGAGTTTTCTCTGTTGTCCTGTGCAGAGCATGCAGAACTGGTTGCTGTGTGGAGCAGCCTGAGCTGATGACCTTTAAGGGCTTCAAGGAGTGTCTTTCTTAGGAAGGTATTTCGTGTGATTCAGCACAGTTCACCCAGTGCTTGCGCACATTGTTCCACATGCAGGATTTCAGGCTTTGAAGTCATTTTAGTCTATAGAACCTTTCTTCTTTCTGAGCAGGAACTCCTTTCTTCAGGAAGATGAAATCCTTTTCCTTTTATAGCTGCTCAGGAACCTCTGACAACAGCACTTGCTGTCTGGTATTACAGAAGTCACACCATTTCCAGAAGTTACATCTTTTCTTCACAGATCAGAAGGAATTTCATTATTTGCTGCCCGCCACCCCCCCTTGCCGCCTCCTTTTTTTCTCCCCTTTTATATTTTTGGGGGAGATTTTGGGGTTGAAGTGGGGTTTTTTTTTGCTATTTCAGGGTTCTTTTTTACTTTTTTTTTCCCTGAAGATACAATTTGCGAAGCTTAAAGTTACATTGCTTTGAGGAAACACTTCTCCAGGTCCCATCTTTTCACTATCCCTGTTTGGTAATTGGGGGAAGAAATCTAAATCCTCTATTTTTTATAACATTAAAAAAAATAAAAAAAAATAAAAAAAAATTACATTTCAGCCAGGAACTCCAGCCCGAGTGACGACCCAAGAAGAGGCATTTGGGGCTGTGCCACCCTGAGTTTTGTACGAGGGCCGGGTGAGAGCCGCAGCTCCGGCTCTGTTACGGGCTCAGGTCCGTCACAGGAGCGGTGCCGGTGCAGCTGCGGGCGGCTGGAGGAACCCGCGGTCCGCGGCTGCATGCGGCTGTCCCGTGCGCGTCTCGGCAGCAGGGGAAGCCCGAAGGCCGGCGGGGCCGGACGGCTCCCGCATCCTGCGGGCGGTCCCAGCCCGGCACCT